TGATTGTTGGGGGTTTCTTTGTTTTATTATTGTAGGGTCTACCTTGCAATATAAAGAAAATAAAATTCAAATAAAATTGAATTGAAAATAGAACTTTATTTTCAGAATTACAATTGCCTGGCAATTATTTCATGGTTCAGGCTTTAAAGGGTTAATAAAAGCAGACTGTTTTTAGTAGCCAAGCGTGTGTATGCCAATCAAAGGTTGGAATAAACACCAGACATCAAATAAGAAACGTGTTCCAAATTTCTTTTAAATTGATTTCTCAGTACAACTATTCTGTGTGTAGTTTTCGCTTCTGGTTGATTGGTTTTAGTTAAGGGTGGAACTGAATAAACTTGTATACATTCTCAAACCAATGATCTTAGAACATACACAACCAGAGTAGCTGTCCCTTTGGATCAGATTCAGAATAAACTGTATTGTCATTGCACCGTATGGTTAAAAACTACAACACAACAAAAAGGGACATATCGGGGAATGTCTTTGATCAGCATTTAATCCTGATATGTTTTCTTTTGAACTTGCCTAGGACATGATGTGTGCTCATCAGAGGCAGCCGCAATCAATGACCATTGCACAGCTGCAGGCTGTACTCATCCAGGAATGGACATCTGGACACTACACAGATGGGTGATTGCTTAAATATGTATTTCTATATGATTAGAAGTGTAAACTGTGACAATGCAACACTCCAGACTTGCAGCAATGTTGCTTCCATGCTTGGTGTTAAAGCCTCTATAGTCTAAATTATGGATAATCCTTTGCAGTCATGACATTTATATATTTTGTGTTTCAAACACTGGTTTTGATACAAAGTTTAGAATGATATTTATTTAAAATAATAATTCCCTGCAGGTTCAGCTAACCTTGCTGAAACTTGAATCATAGTTTTCATCCCTTTCAAGCGGCCTTGTCGGTCTCAGTGCAGGTTATGAAATGATAACTGTGACATGTAATCTATTGTTCGAGTTCCTTTGCACGCGTTTTCCCTCATTCGCATGAACATGTGCTTTTATGGATTCACTTGTGTCTATGTACACACAGTGCATTTGGAAAATATTCACACTGCAGAGTTGTTACTTTTTTTTAAACAAAGTATCGAGGGAAGGCTGCGACAGCTTACGTACACGTTATAAAGTTGTGTTTGATTTTTAACGAAATTGCAGTTTAAAGCTATTTTTTCCCACTTTCTCATTATGGGGTGAAATAAAAAATAAATCTGTTTTGGAAGAAGGCTGTAACAGGACAAAATGTGGTCATGTGAGGTGCTGTGAGTACTTTCCAGATGCGCTCTGAGTGGCATGTTCCCAAAAGCTTTGTATTAGGAACAAGACTGTTTGATCTCGGTCATGGTTTAGACTAAAATACAAAAGTTCACGGCAGTTTGCACATTTGTGACTGTTTCACTCTTTGGCCATGAAACCTTGTGCTCATTTTGTCCATACGAACGTGTACAGTCAGTACAGATAAAGCAGGATCACCTATACAAAACATGAATCACACTCACAGTTATCATTAACACTACAACCAAATCTACTTACGGTTTTTAGGCCCCCAGTAATGCAGCTTTGAAGGCCTTTAGGTGGAAATGACCTACAGATGTTCTCCAGAGATTAATGAGTTTTGTCCTTGCTGACGTTAAGCTGTCTTTTAAAGAAATCAGTCAGTTGCTGCTGACGCCGCTGAGATTATGCAGGAAAAATAAATCTCATGTTTTTATTTCCACAGTGAGAAAATGAGCTAAAAGAAGTCCAGTTCTTTGTTTCTTCTTTTTAGTGTGTTTGCTTCCTGTGTTTCTCTGTCCCCGACTCACTTTGATTGGGAGAAACAGCACTGCTGTTGACTATGTGAACTTTGTTCTGTTTCAACAGTCGAACCGTGTGATTAGTAAGATTAGTTTTACTGGACCGTGTGTGTGTGTGTGTGTGTGTGTGTTTAGTAAGAGGATTGGTGCATGTTACTGTATGCACTGGTGTCCTTAAACCGTTTGAATCTGGGAAATAATTTACATGTTATGCTTCTGTACATGTTTGTGTGCACTGTGGCTTTCTGAAGTGTTGATCATTGAACCTTAGACCTTTGTGCTTACTGCGTCATAAAAGAAAACCTCACAACACATGCAGTTTTTCAGCTGTTCTCTCAACTCTTTTGCCTTTCTCTGCTTTCAAACACTCTCTGCACCAACAAACACTGATGTCGTTTTGGTTGATGGCATCACTGATTAGTTTCAAACACAACTGATAACCGTTATCTGGACGATATCACTACAACATATCCATCCATCCATTCTCTTTAGCTTATCCTTATAAAGATTGTGGTGGTGGAGCGTCTCAAACAGGCTCTAGTGCTGGTGAGCACGGGGCCCACTAGAGGATGTTGGGTCCTCAGGCCACCCTCATGGAGTCTGTTTCTGATGGTTGCTCAGAGACTTTCACACCAGTGGCCTGCTGACCATGCCACTAAATCACAAAGAATGCAGTACTGAATCAGACAGTTTGCATTAAAATGCAGAGATACATGGCATGCATATGCAATCTGTGTAGGCTCTCGGTCATCCAGGTCATGGTAGTCTAAGGATCTTGGAAAGAAACTAGCTGGACTTCTTTAAATTTCGTGAAGATGTTTCATCTTTTATTTTATCTAGCTACTTAGACATATACAATATATCTCCGTAATCAGTCACAGGCACAAGTTTGTTTTTTTTCTTGGCTCACAGGTCACACCACACTCACCACAAACTTTATTGG